TATTAATTATATTATATTATATTATATTATATTAATTATATTATATTATATTATATTATTTCTCTTCTTTATAGAATCTCGTGTTCCAGAAGTTCCAAGTTCCCTGCATGTCCGTCCACTTGTAACAAGTATTGTTGTTAGCTGGACTCCACCCGAAAACCAGAACATTGTGGTCAGAGGGTATGCTATAGGGTATGGGGTAGGCAGTCCCCATGCTCAGACCATCAAGGTGGATTATAAGCAACGATACTACACTATTGAAAATTTGGGTAAGAAAAACTACAGGATATTTTATTCTGACATTTTTCTAAGTAAATGCTTGCTTTTTATGTGTCTCATTTGTGTTTCATTTGGTGTTAAAAGTGTCTGTTTCTACATCCACTCTAGATTTTATGATGTTTGGAAATAATATGATGTCTTTAGTTCTTGTTGTAGTGCTTGAATTAATATGATAAAGCTGGAGACTGTTTTATATGAATCTTGAACTATCTCTCAAAACAGATGTTTCTGTAGCACTACAGAACCACATGTTTAATGCACACTAATAGAATTAAAAATCATGTGGTTTCATGCTGTTTGGTGTATCTGAAAACGTCAAGCACATTATTGTAATAGGAAAAAATGATGATTTGTAATAAACAATTGAATTAACCATTTTGATTTTTTTTTTTTTAGATCCCAGCTCCCATTATGTGATAACTTTGAAAGCATATAACAATGTTGGTGAAGGAATCCCTCTTTATGAGAGTGCGGTGACCAGGGCCTATACAGGTAAAAGATGAGAGTGACCTAGATGGTCTAGCTCAAAAGGGCATTCAAACTGTTCATAGTTTGCTGGTGGCTTGTTTCTTTGTTCAGTGTTCAGAGATAATTTGCTGAACCCCATCTTCTGAACAATGACTTTTAAATCTGGATCAGTGATTTCCTGATTTCCTTTGTAACTCCTACTGTCAACTTGGAACGTTGGCCATAACATGGATTATACATTCTTAAATTTGCTTGCTGAGTTTCCCAATCTACAGTATTATAATTGTAAGCATGTTGGTATAAATGTATGTGAGTCAAAAGCATGTTATGTTTCCCAATAATGTGTATAGTTATCACTCTTTAAATTAAATGATCCATTAGATAAAAATCAAGCCCTTAAACATTATAGACAACTAACCTTTGTGATACTGTTATTGTTTGATAAATGGTACTGTCTGGGATGTAGTTTGAAAGAAAATACTTATTGGGAATTTTGTTGCTGGGTTGTTTTTTTGCTAGATCCCAGATGTTCTTATAAGGATATTTTCTGAATTTCTTTCTGCTTGCAGAAGTGCAGACTTTCCTTTTAATACTATGTATTAATACTGTATATTCCTCTATCACTTTCTCTGTTGGATGCTAATTCTACCTTGATTTTCCAGCATCAGTTTGGAGATGGAATAAATTAAAGTTTTAATGCAACTAATGCTGTATACCTCAATTAGTAAACTTTTCCAAATGAATATTAAGATTTGAAAATAATTGTTCTTGTTAACTTTGATAACAACCTACTTAAATGTTAAGTCCTGTAGAATCTGCTTATGCTGTGTATTTTTAAAAGGAAGCAAAATAATCACTGAAAACTTTTTTGCTGGTGCTGTGTTGCCTATTAATTCTGGCTTTTCTTTCTTTTTCTCCACTTCTCACCTTTCATTTCATTGTATTACCCTGCATTCCACCCTTTTGTTTCTATTCATGTATAATGCCACCTTTCTTTTTTATTGTAATACCCTACTTTTTACCCATCAATTCTTTAGACACTTCTGAAGTTGATTTATTTGTTGTTAATGCTCCGTACACTCCAGTGCCAGATCCCTCCCCCATGATGCCACCTGTAGGAGTTCAGGCTTCCATATTGAGCCATGACACCATTCGAATCACCTGGGCAGACAACTCTCTGCCAAAGAATCAGAAGGTTTCGGATGCCCGTTACTACACAGTCCGCTGGAAAACCAACATTCCTGCAAACACAAAGTACAAGGTAAGAAAAATGTTAGGATTACAAGCTGCTGTCAAAACCTTCTGCAATTAAAAAATATATCTAATATGTGTTTTCCATAAGCGACCAAGAGAAAGGGGGATGATAGGAACTAAATAATTACATTCTTATTTTGTAATTTTCATAGACAGCAAATACAACTACCTTAAGCTTCTTGGTCACTGGCTTAAAACCAAACACTTTATATGAATTCTCTGTAATGGTGACAAAAGGCCGAAGATCAAGCACTTGGAGTATGACAGCACACGGAACTACTTTTGAGCAAGGTATTGGCCATATGCCTTTTTTACAGGACGACATTGCTGCTTCCTTTTCTAAACATCTCAGTATAAATACTATGCTTGTAATTGGTCATTTGTTTTTCTCAGGATGTGGGAGAACTGCCATAATGCTGACCAAAAAAAGGTTCTATATGCAAATAAGTGCCTTTCTTTGGCATTACACACTTTCAGTAAAACTAAATTTGTATGCATGCTCTTCAGATCTGTCTTCTCAATTGTCATCAGAGGGATACTATTCAGGAACTTTATTAAGCTGACTGATTTTAAACTTTTTTCCCTCGCATCTCATCCTAGATAAATACAATTGAATACCTGTAAATGCAGCAGATGTTTTAAACATGCAAAAGAAAATAGAGAGCTGTAATTTTTCTGTTTTTTTTTCTAAATTCCACAGAATACTGTACATGATTTGAAACTCTATAAAATGGAGTTAGGACTCTGTGGAGTCATCATTTCTTATAACTTTCACTGATACTGTTATAAATTACAGTTCAATACATCGTCTAGTAAGTAGCAAGATTTAGAAGATGTGATAGTAAGCGCTGATGGTGAGGAGGGGGCTTTGATGAGATGTCACTCATCAGAAGATTATATTCATTGTTAAGTCCTGCGTGCAAAATCTTAAGCTTTTTAGTATTAGTGTTTCTGCATTAGCAGGCAAATTTTAAATTACTATTGCTTGGCAGGCTTATATTTTTTTGTAATTGGCTTTAACTCTTTGCAGAAAACACACTGAATTATAAAGATTTATGTTTAATTTATGTTTTAAATTAAATTAAATTTAATGTTTAATTTTAAACATTAAAATTAAACATTAAATTAATGTTTAATTTAAATTTTCTTGCAGTTCCAACTTCCCCACCAAAGGATGTAACAGTGGTCAGCAAAGAAGGAAAGCCCAGAACTATAATAGTCAACTGGCAACCTCCATCTGAAGCCAATGGCAAAATTACAGGTGAAATGTCTTTTGGATAACATACAGTGATGATGATGTTATAAATAAGTGGGAAGAAAGATATTAATTACATTGGATAAAGCTCTAAGCTCTTTATAGGTTGTAGATGTATAATATTTCTTGTGGCAGATAGGATGATTCGATGGACGCACGTCATGCTAACAGTATGAATGTGCTTGTCCCTTGTCTGTGCAAATGTTAGGACTGTGCAATGCCTTGGATTTGATTTCAGAAAGATACTTAAGTGTACAGAGGGCTACAGTGTAGTGCTTGTCTCCAACTTCTTAAGTAGCTTCCCACCACCCCAGCCTGTGGTGGGCAGCTGTACAGCTGTGGAGAGCAGCTGTACAATGCAGGAAAAGAAGCAACTACTTGACAGAGTTGCAGAGAGATGCTATATTCATGCCCTTATGTGCTTTGAAGCACTTTTTGGGAATTGAATCCAGAGTACTGCACAGCCTTACTACATATGTTTACATAGTGTTACACACTCAGAATTTGCTGGTTTAAGCCGCAGCTGGAAGAAAGTGTACGTGTAGTTGAGGACTGGGCTTAAAGAGAATGAATGGATGGGGAAGAATGGTCTCACCCTCATTACACAAGGAAAAATAAGAAAAGATGGACTTCAATAATTAGCTTGATGCTAATTATTTATTTTTGTGGAAGACACCTACAAGAGGTCATCAAAAGCTTTTTTCCCTTGCTTATGTTTTATTGTGGTACATAGAAAATAATACTCCTCTCACATTTCTTCTGCAATGCAAATGGTTTTCTTCTGTGAGTTATGGAATATGTGAATCAGAGACTTGGATTTAATAATGCATTATCCATTTTTCCTTTAGTACTCTATAGCAATTTCGATGTTTCAGTTAATCTAGCTTACATTTTAAATGTACATGGATTTTACTTGGTTAGATGTAAATAGGCTGAATTGAGGACGTGACCTTGATTTCCTTTTCTAATGGCAGTAATTCAATATATGTGTGTCTTTAGCGGAAGAGATTGAAGAAAGCATGAGAAATATGAATTTTTCAGAGCTTGGAAGCATGCCTTCATAATTCACCAGCTCTTCTGTTTTTGTTGTGCAGGATATATAATTTACTATAGCACAGATGTCAACGCTGAAATACATGATTGGGTCATTGAACCAGTAGTAGGCAATAGACTGACCCACCAGATTCAAGAGTTAACCCTTGACACAGCGTATTACTTCAAAATCCAAGCCCGTAACTCCAAAGGCATGGGCCCCATGTCAGAGGCCGTACAGTTCAGGACCCCTAAAGGTAGGTTGCAGTGCAATACTGTACGCTTCTGAGTAAATATACGAGACAAGCGGTTTGTGAGGAACAAGGTTTCACATGGTGAATGTAAAAAAAAAAAAAGGAATTCTCTGTCTGGGGTTTTGGCTTTACTTTTCCCATGACCCAGGTGGATGGAAGCAAACGGTTATTAAAATGTTTGCACTAAAGTAGAAAAGATAAATAGTAATTTTTCAGGCCATTTCTGTAGGGTGAAAACCAATAAACTAAACGCTTAACTTGAAAATATAGGGGGTTTTTTGGTGGTGCAAGCAATATCTTATATGTTTTTCTGAGTAGATTGTTTATCAGGCATTGCCCTCATTAGAACAGCTGCTTGTTATCTGGACTTCTACAGTGCGCTGCGGTGGCCTATCATGATTTGGTTAGGAAATATGCATCTGTAATATATATAATGTTTTGGTTGAGCTGAAGAGCAGATAATGCTTTCTGAGAAGCTTTAGCACAAGGGTGGCCCACCTTTGGCCTTTGAGAGATGTGTCCTCCCAGGATTCATCCGTTGGGAGCTGGATTGCACACCAGTGCTGGGCAAGGCTGAAGCAAGCAGTGAGAAGAAGTCCCGTTTTCTTTTTTCTCATGCCTTTTTCCTTCCTTGCTGTCTTTCTGACATACTCCTTCCTCATTCTGTTTTCCTCCTCAAGCAACGGGTTCTTGAGGAAGGGGTGTGCGTTGATTCCTATGCTTGGTCTCAGCCAAAAGACTGAGAAGCCCTTTACAGCTTGCCAAGGGTTTTGTTATTGAGTGAGGGTTGCCCATCTTAGTGGTGCCTACCTTTAGTGGTGGTAGTAGTGGTAGTGCAATTTTCATTTCCCATTTTCAGAGATGATTCTTTCTGTGTCAGTGAATTTTGGTCTTTTGTGTGCTTCTTCCCTTGTGCTTGCCTTGGTAGCTGAATCATCAGATAAAATGTCTAATGATCAAGGTAAACCAATAGATGTGCTTTATGTGTTATGCTATCTTTTATGAGTATTATTGTTTTTCTTACAGCCTTGCACTATTAAATGTCAGTATTCTTGTGAAATTTTAAAGTATAAGAAACTGGAGTTTCTTTTGGTAAAGAGTATATTTGGAATGTGTGCATTTTTTTATATCTTATCTAGAAGTGAAATTATTAAAAATTAAAACTGCACAATAACTTTTGAATTCTCTGGATAACAGTACATTTCTCTCTTTTTAAAATGAAAATAGTCCATTAATGGGTAGGCTTTTAACTTTTTAATCTCTTTCATTTTTTACTTTTATAGTATTGCTTAGAAGATCTGACAATACTGTTGCAAGAGCGATTCACATATACGTTAACGACACACATTTACAGATGTTTATTTATGTACAGTCATCAGAAACCAAAACCAATACACAGTATCTTTAAATGAATGAAAGCAAGAAAAGAATAAGAACAATAGAATAGCAGCAAAAAATTATTGCATTCATCCAGCTGTGTATTCTCTTTGAAGTGAATCTCACTGCATCTACCTCTTATCAATATCCAGTGGACAAGAGCATATATCAACTGGAATTTGTCAAGAACTGACTGCTGCATTGCTTATAGATATTCCTAAATGTGTTCCAGGCTTTGTTAGAAAGGATTAAGCAGGAGGATAATCATAATGTGCCTACTTCCCTTTCAGATTTAATATGTCTTGAAAATATTTGCCATTATATTCACTGACTGAATATGGGCTGTAGTAAGATAACCATTGGTAGGACAGTTCTGTAGGCTCCAGCTGTTCAGAAAAGGGGCACAGAGAATTAAAAAAACAAAGGTCTTACATGTACAGAATATTGCATTTTGTCTTGTTATCAGAAAAGATTCGGACTATTACACAGTGGTCATATCTGTGATTACAAGGGTATAATTCTAGCTATTCTTAATATAATTGATTTAGCATCTTTAAATATGCTCTACTGTGTGTGTGTGTGTGTGTGTTTGGAGTATGTGTCTATCTTGGGGATGGGCAACCTTTGGGCAATCAGAAGCAAAAAATCAGCCTCCTAGAGGGCTTCAGAAGTCATCCTGTTATTTGGTGATGTCACAAGAAGGGGTGTACAGTAATTAACACTTTAGGGTCTATTTTTAGTTTTTCTGGAGGATTTTAAGGGTGGCGATTGAAGCAAAAGTATTATGAGAATCAAACTGCTATTTTCTCCTTCAACTCCCCCCCCCCCCCAAATTCCAATCTGTTTCCATCTAAATTCTTTAGTAAAATAGTCTGATTTCTCTGGCACAATTTGGGATTGATATTTTTGAGGGGAGGGACTCTTTTTTTATTGCAAATGAGAGTGGTTGGCCTATTAGAACCCCCTATTCCCATTCCCATCTATTATTTTTGAAAAACATTGACAATTTTCCACTAAAATATTTGGGGTGGTGTAATCTCAGGCTGAATAGATGCTGGAGAGCCACAGGTTGCCCACCTGTGATCTGTGTAAAAGCAAAAGTTAAGCAATGTATTAAACTTTCAAAAATTGACAAGATGAGATAGTCAAAACACTTTACACAGTTAACATTTTATTCTACAGCATTGGGATCTGCAGGAAAAGGAAATCGGCCAGTGGATGCTGGAACAGACCATAAAACACCCATCAGTGGTAAGTATGTTCTCATCTCTGTTGATAGCCAAGATCTTGAAAACAATTCATGTTATAATTTCCCCAAAAGATAGGGCGTGTTTTTCAGGTCAATGTCAAGGGCTTATTAGAAAGAGAAAAATCCAGTTGAAATTCCCAACAAGGCAAGATGTCTCTCTTGGATAAAATGGATTTTTATTTACCTTAAGCAGTAATTTTCAGTTCTTTCATTCAAAATAAAATGACAACTCTAAAATAATTTAGAATAATTTTTGTGTTCTTTTTTAGGAAGCAACAGCCCTCATGGCAGCCCCTCTCCATTAGAATACAATATGCTTCTGATAATAATTGTATCTGTGGGAGTGATCACCATTGTGGTTGTAGTGATTGTTGCTGTATTTTGCACTCGACGGACCACCTCTCACCAGAAGAAGTAAGATTTTTTTTCAGTTGCTCTGCGGTGGGGTGGGGTGGGGTAGGGTGTGCCTTTCTGCTGGTTTCAGAGATACGGGTGTGATTTACAATGAAGAGGCCTATTGGATTCAATATAATAAAAAGGCAAAATAAAGTTGCATATTGTGCGTTTGTGTGAACTTAAATTTTAGGGCTTTCCCACATAAGGGTTCTATACCAATTTAACAGCTCTAGACTTCTCTGTTTTTATAATATGAACAGTGTTGGAGGGCTGAACTAATGCGTTACTGGCTCAGATGCAGTATAGTTGAAACCATTTCAAAACTATGTTTCGGGTGGGTGGGTATGTTTTGCTATCTTGAGTTGCTGTGCCTCTGCTTCTCCATTGGAGGGAACATTTGCCTCGCTCTCCCTGATAACTTGGCTTCAGGTCTTGTAAGGCAAATGCTAATTCGACAACTCTCCCGCAATACCTGGGCAAAACTAGCTGGAGTGAAATTAATCAGTTTCTGAGCTCTCTTAGGCATGGGAAGAGACAATAATACAAAACCACCAGGCTTCTAGTATTTTCTTTTTTTCTGTTTGTCTGTCAGCTCAGAGGTAGATCAGTTCAGGAAACTGACTTCACAGGAAGAATAAAATTATACTTTATTGAAATAGGCTATAGTAACAAAATTTTGTAGTTTTAACTGTTCCTGGATGACTTCTCCAAAGTCATCTCCATGGCTTCTTCTTTCCCCTTTTGCATGAAGCGTGGATAAGGTGATTTTTGTTGCTACAGGATATACAGCACTAAGGGCAGGACAATGGTTTTCAGTCCTCAGTATTTAAGGTCAGCAGAAGTGACTGCTTCTGAGAGGTTGAGAGGTGAACATGCTGGTGGTAGGGAATGAACTTTGGCATCCAATGAGATAAACAAGGAAACTTCCCATTATTCTTGGGTGAGCATTTGGAAAAGAAAGAGTGAAGATCATTCATGTGCAATACAGAACGTATTACTGGGCACTGTTAATGTGCATGAAGATATTTTTATGGAAGATAGCTCTTGTAGGAAAATTGGGTGATTTTTTTTTCTTTTAAAGAAAACGAGCTGCTTGTAAATCTGTGAATGGGTCTCATAAATACAAAGGGAATTCCAAGGATGTCAAGCCACCAGATCTTTGGATTCATCATGAGAGACTGGAGCTGAAGCCTATTGATAAATCTCCAGATCCCAACCCAATCATGACAGATACCCCAATCCCTCGGAATTCCCAGGACATCACACCAGTTGACAACTCTATGGACAGCAATATTCATCAGAGACGAAACTCATACAGAGGTGAGGGTAGATGATGTTGAACTTATCGTTCGCTTTGCAGCATATGATAAAACCAGACATAATTAAGATGCAGAGCATAGACTATAGTGAAGTAAGCATGATGAAATTTCCCCTGTTGGGACAACTCACAATTGTTTTCAGTTGCCACCATTTTCTTTATGTTAATAATGCCATATTTACATAGCAGAATGCAAATCATAAGAAAAAATCTGCAGTACTTATGCTATGAATGTGTCATTACAGGTAGTCCCCAGTTTAAGAGTGAGTTCCATTCCCAAGGTGTATCCTTAAGTAGAATTTGTATGTAAGCCAGAACTGTATTATTGTATAATACTGTATAAGTAGTATTGTGTATTTAACTCAAATTTTGCTACAGCAGGCTCCGTTCTTAACTACGGGTCGTCCCTAAATCAGGCATTCTTAACCTGAGGACTACCTATATTGTTAAATACATTATTTTTATTACTAAAAATCCACTGAGAGATTCTCTTCTGGTTTTTATTTTATTTTGTAGAATTTTAGCAATAAAGGCTGCAAATTTCTTTGAATGAAATATTTGAAGAAAGGGAAAATACTTTTTCAATACTTGAAGAGCACTTTTAGGAAGAGATAGTTGTTTTAAAACACTTAAGCTGCTGAATCTTGTGATTATTTCCTTATAGGACATAAAGACAGCAGAAGCTAACATTTATTATTCTCAATCTAGGGCATGAGTCAGAGGATAGCATGTCCACCCTTGCAGGAAGAAGAGGGATGAGACCAAAGATGATGATGCCATTTGATTCTCAACCTCCTCAACGTAAGTCTAGCTTCAGGTATTATCTACCAAAGCCACCTTGAATCAAACATTTTTGGTTCCAATCCATCCTTACAAGGTTATCTTGCAGTATATTTAAAGCAATATTCTAATGCCAAAGTAATACACATGCTAAATAGTCTTCTGGCTAAATAACCCACTTCCATTTCCCACTGATTGCTTCCTTTTTTTAGAATTAATGTTATTAAGTTCTTCCTATATAGGACCGTAGAAAGAAGCTGCAAGGGTAGATATCCACATGTGAGGAAGGAAGGCCTTTCTCCATACAGGGAGAGCAGGGTTTCCTCCCCCCCTTCTTGGATTGTGCCCCTGCACCTCTTTGCTTTGATCCACGCTTGTAATGGCTTCCATTATACTGAGTGGGCCAGAATTCAGGCGCAGGGGAAAAGAAGCCTTTCTTCTCTGGTTTGGTTTAATGGCCAATCTGAAGAACACTGAATCTGAGCTTCTTAAAGTTTTCCTTAGACATTGACTTTGTCCCCAGTCCCACTTGCTTTTGTAGATTCACCTTGGCAGCAGAAATCAATTTACTCTGTCTGTCATGCTATTCTAGTAAGAATAGCCTGTATTATATCATAGGTTAGACTTACACCAGGGAATGGGCTTGGACCTTTCACCTTCATGTATGGATGTAGGCTTGTCATTAAATAATTTAACAAATATTAAGTAACAACACTAAATGGAACTTACTCAGCCATTGTTTATATATGGCATGCTTATATCCAAGAAATGTCATGTGCGGTTGCGGGCTCAATCAGTTTAATATATTTAAATATTATGAAGTAGATAGAATGCCAGAACAATAGAAATCAGAGCCAGAGTGCAATAGTGAATTACCCAGATACTGCTTATACCTACTGAAAATCATGTACACAGTAGTAGAAAAAACTGAGGGAAATAATGTGAGTTTTCTCTGAACAGAGTTGAGATCCTCTATATAGCATAACTTGTATAACTACGGTGGTGACATACTGATTTGTGTTTCATGGAATTGCAAAGATTTTAAACTGATTTATTTTTCTTTAAAAGAGTTGGGAAAGTGCTAGAGGGAAACAGATGGTATTTGGGCCATGGAAGTTACAAGATGGGAGATCAAGAAGAGACCAAGTGATGCTGATGGCTCCTCACTTAGGGTAGTGAAACAGTAGGAGAAATATACTGAGAAATTGAGGTCAGAAGAAGGCATCCAAAATTAATTAATCACTGTGATTTAAAAGGGTATTTAAGAAGCACTGAAAGTGATGAAAATCCAAATGTCATGTTCCCCATCATGAAGTTGAACCATTTTTATATACAATATTAAGACTAGCATGGGTTGTGGTTATGGTGGAGATATACTACAGAGTAATTCTCTCACAAATGGTGTAAGCAAACTTTCATTATTCCAGGCTGATATGTTTAAAATGTTTCATAGTTTCACAAATCTTTTCTTGTTGCTTTTCTCCTCAATTTTAATATAGTGAGACCAATAACATTCATTCATTTTTGGAGATTATTGCCTTATCATGTTGTTCTATTAATGCATTTGTTTTCTGTTTTTTTACTGAAAAACTAAACTTTATTATGGCCAAAGCCCGGCAAAGAATAATAGAATATAAAAAATAAGGAAATGATATAATGAAGAAGGGCAGACATGCAAAACCAGTCATAGGAAGGACTGACCCAGGAGGTATTAAATGCCAGAATAATCAAGAAAATCAAAACTATAATGATATATAATAGGCAAATCATGCCTAAGTAGAAATACAGTGAATAAGATATGGATAAACCTAGCACCACCATAAAATACCATATGTATAATATACTACACAGTGCATAAAATAGGTAAGTATTAGTAGATAAAACAAGTATCTATAAAAAGCCAGGGAGGCAAAAATGCATGTAAGAAGGGCAGTATATAGGGCAGTGGAAAGTCTTGGGGAAAGATTAATATGATTAATGGCAGGGTTTCCTTTCTTCCCCTCCTTGGATTCCACATCTGCACCTCGCTATTCTGATCCACGCTTGTAATGGTTTCCCAATCTTGCGTGCTGCCCAACAGAAGTTTGCCACAGGATATGTTGTGGAAGAGCCGTAGAAAATAAGAAAGATATGTAAAAATGCCTGGGGCAACCTGGGAAGTACTGAGCAGTGGTATGAGATGGATACTTGGTACCTGGCTGTAATACTGACACGCAAGTAGCAGTTGTTTTTACCTCCCCATCATTTGGGATGGGCAATAGGACCACCATGTTTTGTTATTTACAATCTTGTTTTCTTTCACTGTAGTGAGTAATTCTTCTTGGTAGACCCCAAGCAGACATAATATTGATTCACAGTTTAAACATTATAAGGATATAAGTTGGCAACCGTAAAATATTACATCTTTCTCTTGTGTGTGTATTACCTGAGCCTGTGGTTGATAGGGATGAACAAAAATGCCTTCATGCACAGAAAGAGAGAAAGAAAACATTGGTGTATAAACATGCCTGTCTGTATTTAAGTAATTGAGCATGTTGGATTTTACCTGGGAGGAGATCTGGCTGGTAAATGAAGTAAACTGAGGTCAGATCGCTTGTTAGTTTGTTTGCATTGCATCATTTGCCCCTCTTACTTCCCCAAAGGACACTGACAGATTAACAAACACCACTGTTTTTTTACAGGCGCTGCTGTTAGTTTGCTTGCTTGTTCTACTCTGTGACTCCAAACCAGCTTTAAATTCGCCTTAACAGTAGATTAAATTTCAGGGTTACCATAAGCTTCTCCATGCACAGCACTCCAATCTGGTGCAAAGTCAACAATGGTGCAGACTTGATATATAATTATTTCTTAATGAAACCAATAATATGAGAGTGGTTGGGTACCATTACTGAGTTTGTTGTAAGCTATACTGTCAATTTTATCCCAATTTGTAATATATCTAAACTATTCAGATCCTTGGGTAGTATTCAGTATGAAATATATTGCAGGTTTAACATTTATCATCATCTCACAACTATATTCCCTTCCATTGGCAGTATGGGAACAGTGAATTAAACTTTCTTTGGGTTTTATTTTAAAAGCGTTATTTTTATGTATGTTAAATAATAACTGAACTAAAGAAAGTAATGGACCTGTAGCCAGCTAAATTAAAACCTAGGATTTCTCTGTTGATTTCAGCACGAGAAACGATCTGTCTAGACAGTGAAAAGATGATCCTTTTTGGTTACTTAAGGATTGGAGATTTATAAATAAGCTCAGCATTAGTAGGAGTGCAGAAATTGTTAACTGAAGGGAAATTGTAACAGCAATGAAGTCATTTATTTGCTTGCCAGATTACAAGTACTGTTAGTGTGTTTCTATACACATGAAACTAAGGTGGCAGGCTGAATTCGTACAACCTAAATAATTGGTTGTCTTGTGTATATATATTTATGTGATAGATAGATAGATAGATAGATAGATAGATAGATAGATAGATAGATAGATAGATAG